CAACTCAAAGGATCACACAAATGTCAAATGAAAACCATAGTGGATTTCCTTTCAGGAAAGGCACATGGTGCAGAGAGGAAGGGTATTGACCTAGACAGGAAGCAACAATGTTGATATCTGAAAGAAAAGTCAGAGTTAACATGAGGGAACAGGGTATAACAAAGAAAGTCAGTGTGCGCAGGTCTCAGAAAGCATGAGGAAATGATGTAATGTTAGTCTAAGGCTGAAAAAGTAGAAGTGGGCCAGACCATTGCGATCTTACCACAAAGAAAAAGGGTTAAGGATTTGGGTCTGCCATACACTGTCTCCCCCAAATTCACTGAATTTATTAGAATGAAATCTAACTCCTGATGTGATGATATTCTGAAATGAGGCCTTTAGGAGGTAATTGAGTAATGAGGGCAGAGCCCTTACGAATGGATGAAAGCCAGCGTAAAAGAGACCCTCATAAAAGAGACCCTAGACATGTCCCTTGAGAGCTGCCACCAAGTGAGGACAATGAGAAGATGGCTGTCTGCAAACCAAGTGAGAGCTCACCAGACAGTGAATCTTGATCTTGAACATCCCAATTTCCAGAAGTGTGAGGAATAAATTTCTCGTTTATAAATCACCTAGTCTATGGTATTCTACGGTATAGCATAGCAGGCCTAAGAATGAAGGAAGTCACTGAAATATTTCAAACACTGAATATTTCAAGTTTTTGTTTCTATCAGCTCACTCGGACTGAACTAATAGAATTCAAGGAGCTAAGTTAGGAAGCTACTGCAATAGCCCAAGCAAAAGCTATGGTAACATGGACTAGTATAATCACAGTAGAGAGGGTGAATTTGAAATAACTGCTATGACTAAAAATGTCTTACGGACTGAATGTGTGTGCACCCACCCCTCAAATTCATATGTTGCACCCTAACCCCCAGCAGTATTTGGAATAACAACTTACAATTAAATGTGGTCATGAAGGTGGGAGCCTGATCTGATGGGAGAGCTTGCTCTCTTCCTAATGCCCACCCTTCCCTGCAGGCACATGTGAAGATGTGGTAAAAAGACAGCCATCTATAAGACAGGAAGAGGGGGCTCGGCGCCTGTGGCTCAAGTGGCTAAGGAGCCAGCCACATACACCTAAGGTGGCGGGTTCGAATCCAGCCCAGGCCTGCCAAACAACGATGGCTGCAACCAAAAAAAAAAATCGCCAGGAGTTGCGGCGGGTGCCTGTAGTCCCAGCTACTTGGGAGGCTGAGGCAGGAGACTCGCTTGAGCCCAGGAGTTGGGAGGTTGCTGTGAGCAGTGAAGCCATGGCACTCTATCCAGGGGGACAGCTTAAGGCTCTGTCTCAAAAAAAAAAAGAAAGACAGGAAGAGGGCCCCGTTAGAAACCAACCCTACTGGGCCTTGATCTAGGACTTCTAGCCTCCAGAACTGTGAGAAAATAAATGTCTATTGTTTAAGCTGCCTAGTCTGTGGTATTATATTATGGTGGCCTGAGCAGACCAATACTCTGACAAAAATTGGGAGCACTTAGATAATGTGTTATTAAGCTGAATTTTTCACTATTACAGAATATAATAAAATTACATCTAAAATATACTGACTAGTATTATAATAGTAATTACAGAAAAACTAAAATCTATTATTAGAAAAGATGGGGTTAAAAAGAAAAAAAAGAAAAGATGGAATGTCTATGGTGAAATTTTTGCTTTGCATTTTTTATGCTTATATACAGGTATAGTTTTTCTAAAATCATGTATACTGTTTTCATCAACCATTTAAAAATTTAACAAAATTTTCAAAGAAAAGTTAATTCAGTTCTGCTTTAATGATTTTTGCTATATGTATCCTTGCTTGTCAATTTTCAATCAACATTTTTTTTTTTTTTTGAGACAGCGCCTCAAGCTGTCCCCCTGGGTAGAGTGCCGTGGCATTTCAGCTCACAGCAACCTCCAACTCCTGGGCTCAAGCGAGTCTCCTGCCTCCGCCTCCCAAGTAGCTGGGACCACAGGCGCCCGCCACAACGCCCGGCTACCTTTTGGTTGCAGCCGTCATTGTTGTTTGGCGGTCCGGGCTGGGGATTCGAACCTGCCACCTTAGGTGTACGTGGCTGGCGCCCTAGCCGGTTGAGCCACAGGCGCCGAGCCTTCAATCAACATTTTTTAACCTGTACCAATTTACTTTATTCTCAACTCAAACTGTTTATAATCATATTTTTTGATCGACAATAAAATGTATAATTATTAAAAATATTCATCCATGTAACAAATAACATCACCTCATGTTCTAAGAGTTATCTAGAGGTCACACATTGGAAAACACTATTTGATACAAAATTTGTCGTTATTATAGTGTCTTTAAAACCATATCAACATGAGACAATGAACTCCTTTCTCATTTTTTCTAATTAATTCCCTCCACAAGTTATACCACTGATAAATTTAAAAACATCTGAGTATTTAAATTTCCCATATTAGAATGATTATTTTACACTAACTATAACTTAAAAATATTTCACACAGCTAGAAGTTAAACATTAAAAATGTTTAAGGTTATGGGGTCAGTGCCTGTGGCTCAAAGGACTAGTGTGCCAGCCCCATAAGCCGGAGGTTGGGGATTCAAACCCACCCCTGGCCAAAAACTGAAAAAAAAAAAAAAAAAAAAATTTAAGGTTATAAACCAAATGCCTGGTTTAAAAAAAAAAAAAATTGCAGAAACTGAACTGTGGCATGAGTTTAGCTAAATAAAGCAATGTAAATGACTTTGTTTTCATCATGATTAAGTTGTTCGATACAACAATTAATTTATACAAAGGATCTTTAACCAGTGTCTAAATGCAAGCCACTCTGCTAATTACTTGGAATGCAGACTAAATTTCAGTGTAAGAATTTAAGGCAGGGCGGCGCCTGTGGCTCACAGGAGTAGGGCACCAGCCCCATATGTCAAAGGTGGTGGGTTCAAACCCAGCCCCGGCCGGGGGGGGGGGGGGGGGGGGGTTGGAATTTAAGCATACACCAGGTGCAGTGGCTCACACCTATAATTCCAGCACTCATGAGTCTGAGAAAAGCCCGGGCAATAGTGAGACCTCATCTCTATAAAAAATAGAAAAATTAGACAGGTGTGGTGGTGCACACATGTAGTCCCTGCTACTTGAAAGGCCAAGGTAGGTAGATCTCTTGAGCTCAGGAGTTTGAGGTTGCAGTGAGGCCACTGTGATGAGGCCACTGCACTCCAGCCCGGGCAACAGTGTGAGAACTTTTCTCAAAACAAAAAACAACAAATGCCCCTTAATAATGACACAACTTGTGGAAATTAAAGTGATTTTCCCTTAGTGACTTACAAACTAGTATAAAGTCTCAAATTTGAACAAAATCTTTGGCAAAACTTAAAACTTATCTCTACTTACGGTTTAAAAAGCATAGTACACTATGCCAGCATGCCCTGAGTATTCCTATTTATTTACAGAATAATTGCATTTTTGGCCCATTTTTCAGCAGTTTCCCCATATTAATGAAATTCTTATATTTTAAAGGGATAAAGCACATGTTTTCTTTGTAACAGAAGAAAAAACTAAATTACTAACACAGATGAAATTATTTTATATTCACTCCTCTTAAAAAGCATACCTTCAATTTCTTATTGCAAGGCTCCTCTGCTAATTTTTCACTATCACCTCGTATAAATGTACTTCTCTCTTTCTCTGAAGGCATCTGTCTCCATCAACATTTATTCTCTTATAGGAAGCAAGGGAATTGAGCTCTCTAGTTCACTCAACCTTGAGTAGAGGAAGAGGCCCTAGATAGCCCCTAAATTAGCCTTCTGGTACCCCTGCAGAGCCCAGAGCTGCAGTTAACTTGAGATGCCTGCCAGCTGTATATCAGGGTTCTGGATCAGCTTCAGTTGAACCTATACAAAGCAACTGGCCTCCTCAAAGTCTAAATGGTCTATCAGTTATACCTGGGGAGCAGAGTCCTTACACCCTAAAAGAATACTTTTCGACTGACAATCATTTTGTCCAAGGAAAATAAAATTACTGGTTTATTTAATTGAGCGATTTTATTTTAAAAAGTGCTTATAAATGAAAAATTCTTATAAATAACCAAATAATCAAACTCATAATGAAATTGAATATTTATTTGAATTTCTCCTTGTAATAGCACTCAACATGTAAGAAGAACAAATCAAGCTGTGAGATTTTGTTTTAAATGTAGACATTTTTCAAAAAGAAAATGTTGGTTTCTGTATTTAATAGCAATAAGTAGGGCATCTATTTTAAAACTACCATTCAAAAATAGTATTTTTAAGAAATATATACTATTAACATGATGTGTTTTATAGAATGGGTACATATCTGAATGCCAATATGAATGTGGAAGAAATACGTATGTGTTAAAAACCACATGAGAAAACTATTCTTTTTATAAAAAGTAGCTTGAAATAAAAAAGAACTTGCTAGTAAACCCAATAAATTTTGACACCTGGGCACATGGGACATATTTTTAAATCCCCATCCACTTAACCTCTGCAAAAAAAAAGAAGAAAGAGAGGGAGAGAGAAACGGAAGGAAGGGAAGGAAGGAAGGAAGGGAGGGAGGGAGGGAGGGAGGGGATCAGGGGATCTGAGGGGGCAGGGAGAGGGAGGGGACCTAAGGGAGAGGGAGGGGACCTAACGGAGAGGGAGGGAGAGAGGGGAAAAAGAGAAGGAAAGAAAGACAAAACATGGTGGGTCATTTTGACTAGAGCCATTAGATGACCACTAATTTCTGTACAGCATGGAAGCCTGCTTAAACAGTCAATATTAACTTCCTAAAGTGCATCTTTTGAAGACTTATCTAATAAAATTGCAATATCAAATATAAAACAACACAAGACATGCAATAACAAAACTAAATCATATAGTGTAAAGTTTTTAAAACTACTTTTAAAACTTTTGATTCACCAAAGAATAAAGATGGCAAATACAGTAGCATTCTCATTCTCCAACAACATGCATTATATGCTTTTGTTATTTGGCAAATCATTTGGAGTCGAGCAAAAATAATGCAGTCTAAACAATATTTCTTCTTTCATTATAATACGATTCCTCAGGCAGAACAGTAAGATGCAGAGGAAGTTAGATTTTTGGAAGTTTTGGTGCATTAACCACAGGATTTGCCTCCTGCAAGTATCTCCTCCCTGTACTCTTGTAATCATAGGTGCAGCCGTGAGTTTCTGCATAGCGATGAGATGCACAGAAGTTGTTTCCACATCTAAAGTACAAAAAAAGTTTACGTGAATAGTCACATTTCTATGAAAGGTTCATCTCTTGGGAGAGAGAGCTTGACTTCAGGTAGTCCGACAGGAGCCCTCTGCTTCTCTTTAGCAATTTCAGTGCTAACATTTCACCTTCCACTCATAAACAAGCACGAACACCCCCTTCCCAAAGAGCACATCTATCATCTATGATTATTATAGTTTATAATAAAGAATCCATTATGGACTGAAACGGGTCTAGAATCCTTAATGAGTAATAAAATTGCAAAAGCTGATAAATATGCCCACTATTTCTCTTATACCTAGTAAACTTGAAAAAATTCTTAATTTCTGAGAAATTCAGTCTCATGAGAAAATTAAATTATATAAAATCAAACTACACCATGCAATTTTTTTTTAAATATTTCTAGCAGCAAGATAAAACTGTATTCATTTGAATAGAATATACTCTAAAAAGCACTTGTTACTTTCAATGCCTGGGTTGCCAGATACCATCCTTGGATGATACTGATTAATGCTAATGAAAGAAATAATTATGGAAAGAAAAATTCATTATTTTTTGAAGATACATTATTCATCTACTTTGAAATAAAAGTGTATCCTATAATAGTTAAAATGTATAGTAAATTAAATCTAGTTCCTTTTTTTCAGTTCAATTAGAAACAGAATCTTGGGGGAGGGGTTCTTCCAGGCAAAGATCAAACAAAAACCAAGTACGTTTATTTTAAGACAAGGTACACTCTCCCACTGGTTTAAATCTCCTAATTTGAAGGGCAGGGATTGTGCTTTCTGAAAACCCATGAGCTATTTGCCATGAACTATCTACTTGCTCTTTACTTCAGTCAATTAGGACTCCAACTGAGAGAGGCTATTTATCATAACGTCTTTTTTTTTTTTTTTTAAGATAAGATCTTGCTCTGTTGCCTGGGCTAAACTGCAGTGGTGTCATCATAGCTCACTGCAACCTCAAATTCCTGGGCTCAGTAATCCTCCTGCCTCAGCTTCCCCAGTAGCTGAGACTATAGGCAGCATGCACCACCATGCCCAGCTAATTTTTCTATATTTTATAGAGACAGGGTCTCACTAAGTTGCCCAGGCTGACCTGGGCACTCCTGACCTCAAGCAATCCTCCCACCTCAGCTTTCCCAAGTGCTAGGTTTACTGGCATGAGCCATCGTGCCCAGCCAACATCATCTTAATGATGTTATGAATGGCCAATTTAAGTAATGTTTTATTTTGCATGATCCCCAAGTTGGGTCACCACAGAGAAAGCTTCTAAGCTTCTCCAGCTGGCCAACCTGCCTGCATTCGTAGCTAGTAGCCAGTCCTGTTTTCTTTCCACAAAGAAAACAATGCTTTGTTGTCTTCTTCTTTGTTTGAATAGGGGCTTTCACAGGTGGGAGGTGATGAGTACATTCTCCTGTTTAGAGAAAGGACACCTTGATTAACACAGGCATAAAATTTTAAATGTGAAATACTTAGATTAAGCAAAACACAAAACACATTTCTATCAAAGTAAACATTTCATGTTTTTAACATTATAATTTTTTTTTTGAGACAGAATTTTGCTTTGTTGCCCTCAGTAGAGTGCCGTGGTGTCATAGCTCACAGCAACAACCTCAAACTCTTGGGCTCAAGCAATTATCGTGGCTCAGCCTCCAAGTAGCTGGGACTATAGGTGTCTGCCACAATGCCCAGCTATTTTTAGAGATGGGGTCTTGCTCTTTCTCAGGCTGGTCTCCAACTTTGGAGCTCAAGCAATCCACCTGTGTCGGCCATCCAGAGTGCTAGTATTACAGGTGTGAGACACCACACCTGGCTGTAATATTTTTTTTCTAAAATTATTTATAGACTCTATAAGTGAAGTTGTAGTAGAACTTTTTTTAAAAGATGAGGAAGGTTTCTACTGATTAAGACTTAGATTTTTTAGGACTCATTCTACACATCATCTTTCTGATTATTAAGGGTAACTATTTCATATAAAATATACCAAACTTTGACAGAGAATCAAGAAAACTGTCTGGTTCAAAATCATATTTGATGAGACCTCTGAGAAAAACATAACTGCAATACAATTGTTTTACTGTTTCACAACAAGGAGCACCAAAGTATCTGGAAACCCGTCTTCCAGTCCTGATTACACCACAGATAGCAAATTTATCAAACCATGACCAAGTCATTTATTCTTTGAAAACTTTAATTTGTTTATTTTTGAGATAATGGAACATGTATCAATACTTTTTCTGAGGTGTCTAAGTGGTTTAAGGTCAAACAAGTTCATATATGTAAAATATACACTGAAAATTTTAAGAATGTTATAATTATACAAAATCACATTATCAATATGACTAACACAACACATGGCTCAATATCACAGTATTACTAGCTTTCCAAAAACTTTACTAAATTCTGTACAATTGTACCAACTTCATTTTTTACCTTAAAAATAAAAGCACATCTATTATTATATAACAAGTAATTAAACAGGTTTCTTTAATTACTAAGTGAAATGGCTTTTAGAACTGACTCAAATGCCAAGAAAACCCAGTCATAAGCAGATGGGCTCAAAGTCACTGGCTGTAGTTCTTAGAATACCAGTACGAGTACACAAATGCTTGGTGGCACTCAAAGGTCAAGAAGCAAGAGACAAAGAAAATAAGAACAAATGGAAAGAATGAGGAAAAAAAATGGACTGGCATTTAAGGTCTTATGTGTTCAATACAATAGCTTTTATAACTTTCCAGAGTCATTTCTTATTATTTACCACATTATACCCATCCTGAACAATATACCAGGTCCACTTACATCCACAATCTTTTATTCTCAAATGCTCTATTCCACCTTAACCTAGTGAAATTCTATTTATACTGTAAAACATCATTAATCATCAATTCTCTGAACCCTTCAATGTGTATTGAATATGAATAAAGAAAAATTCTATACAATTTTTTACATAAAAATGTATATATACTTAAAACATCAATCATCAAGTCTGTGAAGCCTTCTTTCAATGTGTATTGAATATATGAATAAAGAAAAATTCTATACAATTTTTTACATAAAAATGTATATATACATTCTTATATATAATGTGAAGAGTTGCTTTTCATAAAAAGATGAAAATTATTTGAACTAATACACTTGTTTGGTATTTCCTAACCTAATATTTGATCTAACATAATGATCTATAAATCACTCAACAGAAGACAGCCAAAAAGTAATAAATTAGCATTCCAGACCCAAGTTTGGTAATCACTGGCTGAAAATGATGGGTTACCATATAAAAATAGATAAAGTTCCCAAGGGAGACCATACAGTGTAAAGAAAAAGAGGATCAATGGAAGAATTTGGTAAGTCAATTAAATAAAACACACACTGGCTCGGCGCCTGTGGCTCAAGAGGCTAAGGCACCAGCCACATACACCTAAGGCAGCGGGTTCGAATCCCCAGCCCGGGCCCGCCAAATAACAATGATGGCTGCAACCAAAAAATGGCCAGGCATTGTGGGCGTTGTGGCGGGCGCCTGTAGTCCCAGCTACTTGGGAGGCGGAGGCAGGAGACTCGCTTGAGCCCAGGAGTTGGAGGTTGCTGTGAGCTGTGATGCCATGGCACTCTACCCAAGGGGATAGCTTGAGGCTCCGTCTCAAATAAAAAACAACAACAACAAAAAATAAATAAATAAAACACACAGAACCTTCAAGGTAATTCAGAAGGATACAGTCAGGTATTGCTGTGAAAGAAAATGTCAGCAAGTTACACAGTTCTAGTTTGGGGAATCATCATTGTGGTACCAGCTGATGCCTTGAACCTAGATGAAATTAAACAAAAAAGCATGTATCTGGGACAAGCAGAGGACTGACTAAAAAAGCAAAAGTAAAGGTAAAAAACACTGATGTAAAAAATGAAAAAAACCAAACCATGAACCAAAACAAAAACCTATAACATGATAACCCAGAATTTCTTTTAAAAGAAAGAAAAAAAGGCTTGGCACCTATAGCACAGTGGTTACAGCACCAGCCATGTACACCAAGGCTGGTCGCTAAGCAACAATGACAACTGCAACAAAAAATAGCCAGGCCTTGTGGTAGGCACCTGTGGTCCCAGCTACTTGGAAGCTGAGGCAAGAGAATCGCGTAAGCCCAAGAGTTTGAGGTTGCTGTGAGCTGTGAAGCCACAGCACTCTACTGAGGACAACTTAGTGAGACTCTGTCACCAAAACAAAACAAAACAGAGTGGGGCTGGGCGCAGTGGCTCATGACTGTAATCCCAGCACTTTGATAGGCCAAGGCAAAAGGATCACTTGAGGCCAGGAGTGCAAGAACAGTCTAGGCAACAGTGAGACCCCATCTCTACAAAATAAATTAAGAGATTAGCCAGGTATGGTAGAGCATTCCTGCAGTCTTGGCTCCTTAGGAAGCTGAGATGGGAGGATCACTTGAGTCCAGGGCTTTGAGATTGCAGTGAGCAATGCCAGAACCCTGCTTCACTGCACTCCAGGCTGGGTCTAAATAAAAAAACAAAAACAGAAAATACAGTGGTATATGCATAAAGATAGACCAATAGGATAGTCAGCACAAAAACAAGCCCTCACTTATACGGTCAAATGACTTTCAACAAGGACGCCAAGACCATTAGATGGAAGAAGTTCAGTCTTTTCAACAAAAGGTGCTGGCAAAACTGGTTGTCCAGACAGGAAAGAAAATAGGCCTCTACCTTATAAAAGTTAACTCAAAATAAAGATTTAATATAAAACATAAAACCATAAAATTTCTAGAAGAAAACATAAGAGAAAAGCTACTTGACATTGGATTTGTTGGTGATTTCTTATATATTACACCAAATGCACAAGTAACAGGAGACAATAGAGAAATTGGACTTCAGGAAAATTAAGAACTTTCATGTATCAAAAGATATTGTGAAAAGAGTAACAAGCAACTCATGAAATGGAAGAAAATTCTGCAAATCATTTAGTAAGGGATTAATATCTAGAATACATAAACTCCTAAAACTCAACAGCAAAAAAACACAACCAACTTGATTAAAAAATGGGTAAAGAACACGAAGAGACATTTCTCCAAAGAAGATATACAAACGGCCAATAAACACATGCAACTAATTATTAGGGAGTGAACTTCACTAATTAGGGAATCAATATTACTAATCATTACAGAAATGCAAATCAAAGCCACAATGACATAGCACCTCACACCTAAAAGGATAGCTACTGGCAAAAAAAAAAAAAAAACACACAAAAAACCAGAAAATAAATATCAGTGAAGGTGTAGAGAAATAGGAATCCTTGTGCACTGTTGGTGGGAATGTAACATAGTATAGCAACTACTGAAACAATATGGTGGTTCCTAAAAAACCTCAAAATAGAAATTATGATCCAGCAATTTCACTTCTAGGTATATACCCCAAAAAACTAAAAGCAGTGTCTCATCAAGATTTTTGTACATCCCAGTTTATAGCACCATTATTCACATTATTAAAACGTGAAAGCAACACACTGCCTACAGATGGATGGGTAAGCAAAATGTGCTATATACAATACATGTAATGGAGTATTGCCTTAAAAAGGAAATTCTGACACATGCTACAACACGGATAAAACTCGAACAGATTATAAGTGAAATAAGCCAGTCACAAAAATGCAATATTGTATGATTCCACGTATATGAAATCCTTAGTATTTCAAAAACCAAAGACAGAAGAAATAGAATAGTGGTTGCTAGGGGCTGGCAGTGCGGGGGTGGGAATAAGACGTTAGTGTAGAGTACAGAGTTTCAGTTTTACAAGATGGAAAGTGTTCTGGAGAAGGATGGTTATAATGGTTGCCCAATAATGTGAATGTACTTAATGTCACTAAACTGTACATTTAAAAATGGTTGAGATTGTAAATTTCATGTTATGTGTATTTTACCACAATAGAAAGAACTGGAAAAAATTAAGTGAATATATTAAGACTTTATAACCTCAAGCCTTACATAGGAATGAAAAATGAACTTTAAGTGTCTCTAAAAACAAAAAATTTACATGAGAACTGTAATATATAAACTATCTTTAAAACTCTGGGGTTACAAAAGTGCTATATCTTTGGTAATCAGTTTCCTACCCTCTGTCTAGGTACTAAAACAGAAAGAAGACAGCTTCCCTCCTCAATGACTGGCTAGCACATCTCTAAGGTATTACTCTTGGGAGAAGTGCTAATGTTAAGGTCATTTTTACTACTATACTTAGAAAGGGGTGGCATTACAGACTGTCTCCTTTTGTCCAGAAATAACTAGTTCATCAAAAAGAGACTCTTAACCACCACCCTTGCTATTAGACCATAATGCTAAAAAACATCTTTGTAGGGTAATTCCTCAAAACTCACATGGCTCTAGAGTGTCCAGTAACTAAGGGGTTGGGAACTACATGTTAATTGTTCAATAATCTTGTTTTTTCCTCATAGATCATACCTCTTCCCAGACCTATTTCAATTTTTGTATAACTTTTCATACATGTCTTATATACATGTCTTATATTCCTCATAATTATTTTATTAATTGTAAAAGAAGTTTAAGTAAAAAGTTTACTCTGTACTTTTGTACATAACCCAGAGAACATTCTTTCCATTTCTTTTTTCGGTTTTTTGACAATTTCACTTTATTGCTTGAGGCTAGAGCGCAGTGGCACTACAGCTCACAGCAACCTCAAACCCCTGGGCTCAAGCAATCCTCTTGCCTCAGCTTCCTGAGTAGCTGGGACTACAGGTGCATGCCACACACCTGGCTGGTTTTTCTTTTTTTTGGCGGGGGGGTCTCGCTTTTGTTCAGGCTGGTTTCAAACTCCTGAGCTCAAGCAATCCACCTGCCTCAGCCTCCCAGAAGGCTAAGAATGCAGGCGTGAGCCACTATGCCCGGCCCATTATTTCAATTTCTATTTAAAATTCAGCAGTTAATATTTATATATTTATGTCATTATAAGCCGCTTATTGTTTTCAAAATTATCTGTAACTCACCTAGTCTTTTCCCCGCTGCTGTATTATTTCCATTCATTCCAATACCACGGGCAGACTACAATAAAACACAAAACATCTACAAAGGTGAGTCAATGGGGAACAGAAGAGATCATCAAACACGAAATACTTGTATTTTATTAACATGCTACTGGCTTTCATTTTAAATTATTTGATTTTTACTTAATTAAATTAACTTAGAAACTGATTCTCACATTTGGCAATATTGTACATATTATTTATCTCTAAAAGAGTATAATTTGATATTCTTATTTGGAAAAAACATTAAAAATATTTAGCTTTTAAAAATATATGATAAACTCTTGTTTGTTTGTTTTTGCAGTTTTTGGCCAGGGCTGGGTTTGAACCCACCACCTCCGGTATACGCAGCTGGCACCTTACTCCTTGAGCCACAGGTGCTGCCGATAAACACTTTATGTGAACTTACTTTCAAAATACAGTCCACAGTTCAAGAATTATTTTTATACAACTATAAAAAGATTTTCTACAAACTGGATAAATATTTTCAGAAAAATTAATGGAAAAAAATCCAACTGTAGGCCTCCTATTTGAGTAAACAAAAAACAAACCTTAAATATGTTGATCATCAAAAGGGTAACTAGTAGAGAATGTTGAAAGGAAAATACTTACTAGAAAAAATTCTGTAGGTTCTAATTGGGGGGAACTTTTCCTAAAGCTTTCTTCCTGAAAATGCTGGAGGCTTGTAGGCAACCCCATTGCAGAGGGCCGAAGCCTGCCCACTCCACGTGTGCTCTGTAAACTGTCTCTGCTTGTGCTCCGAGCCAGTGAAGCAAGGAAACCAATGTTATTTACACAACCAACAGGCTCTTTGGAAGCCTTGTTAGCCATTTCTGTGATATCTCGAGCCTCAACCTTGGAAATAATATCAGATCTTTTCCCAGGTGAATCAACTTTAACACCTCGAAAGCGAGCAGTCCTAGAGAAAGAAGAATCAGTTATGTTTCGATCATCCAATGACTGGAGGATGTTTTGTGAAGCAGAAGATTGAAGGCTCCCAGACTCAAAACATTTGGACTGTCTCTGTGGTTTCACCAAAGAACTATGTAGCGGCATTGGTGCAGAACAGCGGATAGGTGACAAGAGTCTATTCTTGTGTGGACTTAATTCACGGTGCTTAAGAACAGGAGTCTCTACTGATTCACTGCTCAGTACTCTTGAAACATGTTTAAGATGCTGCTCTGTAGCTTTCAACCCTTTATCACTGTTAGTGAGTAAGAACTCTGGATTTACCTTCCGTGTGCCTTCTGAGCCACTGTTCTGTTCTGCAGCATTTCTTTCTGTAAATGAAGTAAATGAACCCACTTCAGGTGGAAGTGATTCTTCAGTTACACACTTTTCTGAAGTTGGAAATAAGACAGGGTCATCCTCATTATTAGATGCCAAGTTTCCTGAAAAGTGTTTGGTCCGCCTAATAAGGGATGGTCCAAGATGGAGAACAGAATCAGCACGCTCTTTCTCATTTTCCAAGTCCAAGTGGAGAATGGGAGGTGGTAGTTTGATGCTACTACTGGCATGAGACAGTGTGTTACTCTCCCAGTTACCATCTTCCTTAAGAAATTCACTGGTGACAGATGATACAGGCCTATCAGCAGGGGGCTGAGGTGCCAAATTTGAAATTGCACTCTTGGACTTTTCAGGTAGATATGCATTCCCAGGAGAAGGTAAACAAGGTTGCCCAATGTGGGGGAGGACCCTTAGCAATCTGTGGCGAGCTGTTGCTGTGGAACCACTAGATGGTCGAGGAGCTACAGGTGGCCGAGGCTTTACTTTGACAGGTTTCTTAGGCTAAAAGAAAAGAGTGAATAAATAACTTCTTTACACAGTCACTTTCTCTGCCCATTAACGAAAATTAATAAAGGAAGAAAATGTTACTTACCATAACATACTGGCATTTTTATTATCACATTTTAGAATGTTTTTAAAAAGATTAAAATCTTAAGATTATGACTGAGAAGACTTTTGCTATCTTCCCTCACTGAGTAAAATTTTCTGAGACTGTTGAAGAAAAATAATTTTGTTTATTTCCTTACTATTATTTCTTAAAATTTTACTTAGAAGAAAATTAATTACATTAGATGTGACCTCGCTGAGCTATATTATATCCCCAATCATTTTTTCCTACTGGGATCAATCAATAAATGTTTGACTAGGTAGGTACGTAGGGAAAAAAGTTAATGGGCCTAAACTGCTATCCTTGAAAAGGCTTGCTCACATGTTCAGCTTCTGGGAACTTGTACTTCAAGTCCCCATGATCCTATCTGGCAAGGGGGCTCACTGTACCTACACAAACACAGCAACCAAAATATGGTTTATGCTCAACACCTGCTTTCCTTCTGGTAGTCCGCCATGCACATGTTAGGCAAAGGGTGCTTCACAAACAGGCCAAACAAAATTCCTGGACACGGAGTCTCTAATGAGCTTCCCTGGTAGAAAACATTTCACACATGCTGTCACAACTCAATGATAAAGGAATTAGGCAGACTGCCCTCGACTGGACAAGGATTCTAGGAAGCCTGTGCCTGTACCTAGGCTCTGTGCACTTCTACCCTTTGCTCATATTGCTTTGTATCTTTTTGTGAACTAAATCTTAGCCTATGTACAACAATATACTATATTCTACAGTCCTGTGAATCCTCCTAGCAAATTATCAAACCTGGGGTAGTCTTGGGGTCCCCTGGCATAGGAGGTTTTAACAAATGTACCATATAAATTTATGATTTTATGGATAAAGTCAAGAATTAAAGATAAGAAACTTTAGCTCTTAAAAACAAACAAAATGCTAGTAGAGAAGGCATCAGGATTGTATGGAATATCTAGTGACATACCAGCATTCTCACTTGTAAGAAATATAAGATATATTAACACGTAAGGAAAGCCAGATAATTCAGGGGATACCAATTGAGGCAAGGAGAGCCAGAGGAGCTAAAAAGGAAGAACATTAGAAAGTTTAACTGGCTCTTAACAGCTGTTTGTTTATCTGTTTGTTTTTGAGACAGAGTCTCACTCTGTTGTCTGGGCTGGTATGCAGTAGTGTCATCATAGCTCACAGCAACCTCAGACTCCTGGGCTCAAGTGATTCTCCTGCCTCAGCCTCCCAAGTAAGCTACAGGCATACACCACACTTGGCTAATTTTTTCTATATTTTGTAGAGATGGGGTTTTAGTCTTGCTTAGGATCACCTTGGCCCAGCAGAGTGTTAGGATTATAGAGGAGTAAGTCACTGCAACCAGCCTTAAAGCTGCTTTTATGTTGGGACCATTGTCTTGCCAATCTGCAATTCCAAATTCAGCACAAATATTTTTCAAAAATGAAGATTATGACTTTGGGGCTGTAGAGGTTAATGGCAATCTGAATTTCTCCATAGATCCTCTAAAAAGCACACAGATCAACACCATAAACAAATGAAATCACTTATAACCCATGTCTTCAGCAAAACTGGGAGACAAATAATATGAACTTCAAATTAGCTATAAGTAGGTAAATATCCAAATCTAGGAGACTCATCTGCAAAGTCTATGCTTGTGGTGAGAGACAGGCCAGAGTGTGGAGCATCACAGGATGGGATGAGATGGGATGGAAGGGAAGGGAAAGGGAAAAGAAGGGAGAAAGAGAGAAAAGGGATGTGGATAAACTAAGGTGGACAGAACAAAGATAAAATAAACTTACAAAAGAGAACATGAATCACAAATCAGAAAACACACTGATCTTGCCTTCCAACAAAAGTGCCACTGACTTTAAAAACTTGGTTATACTATCCCAAGAGCACAGAGTGCTCCTGAAATGGGGAACCTACTTCCTTATGTAAAATCCTCTCACTTCTGTGAATTAACACATAACTGTTAATGCTGACCTGAGTAAATAAAATTACAAAAAATAAAATCAGAAAATAAAAAGAAAAAGGCAGGCCAAATCCACACAAAATTATTATAAAAAATGCAGAAAATGAGAATCACAACATTTCAGCTGATGGAAATTCTACCCCAAAATAATAAAGCAAAAGAAAACTACATCATAATACTCCAACCTAAATTAAATATCCTTTAGTTAGTATTTGCAGATGTTTTTTAAAAATCACATCAAATCACAAACCAAAAACATCAAGACACAATGGACAAAAAGCAGAAAGGTATGAAATGAGAGCTCTAAACCTGCAAAGACCCTGAAGAAAATACATCATCTCAGAAATGAAGACTAAATCAGAGACGTTCAAAAGGAGACTAGCTTCTACTGAACATTTAATAAAGAATACTGAAGAAATGTATGAAAACAGGCAAAAGAATAAAAACAAAATAATTTCTTAATATAAGGATAAGAGATGAGACTACAAACTAATAAACCTTTCTGAAAGGAAATAAGGAGACTCCTCAAAGAACTCAAATTAGATTTCCCATGTGATCCTGTAATCCTATTACTGGGCATCTACCAAGAAGAAAATAAAAACATCCTTTGATCATAAGGACACTTGCACTAGACTGTTTATCGCAACTCAATTTACAATCACCAAAATATGGAAACAAACAAAATGCCCACCAACCCAGCAACGGATTAACAAGCTGTGGTATATGTACACCATGGAATATGATTCAGCCATTAAAAATGATGGAGACTTTACATCTTTTGTATTAACCCAGATGGAGTTGGAATACCTTCTTCTTAGTAAAGTATCACAAGAATGGAGAAGCAAGAATCCAATGTACTCAATTCTAATATGAAGCCAGTAGATGACCTAATACATGCCCACATGAGAGAAAAACTGAAATCAGTTCAAGGTGAGGGGGCAGGGGAATAGGGAACAGGGACAGGGGAGGAGGGAAAGGGATGGGTGTGTTCCCACTTAATGGGCACAATGTTAGGGTGTATGGCACACCTCTTGAGAGTGGGACACAATTCTAAGAGGGATTTTACCTAACAAAGGCAAACACTGTAACCTAGTTATTTGTACCCTCAACCTGAAACAATAAAAAAAAAGATAAAAATGTGGTTATATAGAAGAAAGAATTGCCAACATATGTATAAAGGAAGTCCCTAAGAAAGAAAACAAAGAAACAAAAATATTAAACATTAAAAATTAATAAACTCTAAGAAATGATTCTGAAATAATTTAATCTTCATGATAAAAATTCTCAAATGTATAGTGAAAATTGACCCAGAATGTTTAATTCCAAGACATATCCTAGTAAAAATAAAATTACATTTTTTTTTAGAGACAGAGTCTCACTTTATTGCCCTCCGTACAGTGCTGTGGCGTCACAGCTCACAGCAACCTCTAACTCCTGGGCTTAGGCGATTCTCTTGCCTCAGCCTCCCAAGTAGCTGGGACTACAGGCACCTGCCACAACGCCTGGCCACTTCTTGTTACAGTTTGGCCGAGGCTGGGCTTGAACCCACAGCCCTTGGTATATGGGGCTAGTGCCCTATCAGCTGAGCCACAGGTACCACCCCAAATAAAATTACATTTTTAAGAAAAATCCTCACTTTCTCCAGACAAAAAAAACATATCATTTACAAACAAAAGAATGTCAGATTAGCAATTAGATTTCTCAATAGGAATATACAAAGCAAGACAACAGCACAGCAACATTTTAAAGAAACTCAAGGAAAAAAGTGTGAACCAAGCATTTTATATCCAGCCATGCTGTCATTAAGAATTAAGGCTAAAAAAGGTTTTGAATGTGAAATGTGAAAATTCAAGAATTTCTGTACTTAGCCTCTTTCCTGAGAAGTTTACTAGAGATAAGAGTCTTCTACCCAAAAAGTATGGGGAAATCAGCAAAAAGACAAATAAGAATGAGATATATTTTCTTAAAATAAGAATGAGGACGAAGATAGAAAAATGATTTGTAAATGTTATATTTTTTTTAAAAAAGTAGAAATAATTAAAATTTTAAAATGAGAGAAAAAAGGAAGAGAGAAAAGAAAGAGTTGTCAGTTAATAAGTAGAGAGATTAGGTATAGTGGCTTATGGCTGTAATCAGCATCAAGTTGGCAAATAAGGAAACGAAAGACCTAAACAATCCACAGGGTCAATCTATGTAGATAGCTATCCTATTTTTACCTTGATGAAGAAGAATAAATTACTTTGTGAAGTATACATGGAACATTCATGAAAGGTGATATTATATCTCAAAGACTAAGTCTATAAAGTTGAAATATAAACAACATTTTCATGTAATCAAACTATAAATTTAAAAACAATGAAAAACATGAGAGAGACTTTACCTAACAAATGCAATCAGTGTAACATGGTTTCCTGTACCTTCAGTGAATCCCCAACAATAAAAAAAAATAAAAAATAAAAAAATCACAAAGCATCTACCACCAGGAATTTTTCAAAATCTTATTAAACAACTCTTGGACTAAAGTATAAATACCAACTAAAACTGCAAATTTTCTACAAAGAAAATTTAAAATTAATATGCTACAAATTAACATTATGCTCCTCTTAGCATTTTGTATTGAGAAGAATACATCATCTGTGTAACATTCTTGTCAAAAATATTTAACTTGCATATAATCATGATGAAACTATCAGACAAATTTCCAAATTGAGAGATAACTTTACTAAACAATTGGCTTATTATCTTCAAAAATATCTGACTATAATGCCCAAATGAGGCTAACAAACAGGTGTACGTAAAAGGAGACTAAAAAACATTAAAACTAAATGTAAGGCATGATTCTTGACTGAATTCCAGATTGAAAACAAAACAAAGTGCTATCAAGAACATTACTGGAACTTGGGAAATACGAACACATAAGACATAAAGTGCATCAGTGATAAATTA